GCTACCATTTGACATCCTTAGAGACTACAGCTCAGCCTCTGAGCTTGCATATTTATGCAAAACAAAATGCAAATGAGCCCATTGAACCCTTTGTCTACATCCTGCCAAGCTGGAAACCTGGATCTCCGGACAGACTCCTCCAAGCTTTTGTCTTTTTAGAGGAGCTTTTCCAAGTAAGACACAGAGTCTCTGAAATTTTGCTAGTTCAGTGAAATTCAACTCAATCAATATGTTTCGTGAGCACCTACTAAGCACAAAGGACTGTGTGAAGGACCTGCCAAGACCAAAAAACTGTGAAGTTAGAGAGAGTGCACAATAACTTTAATGAGATTCCTAGTTTTGCTTAGTTTCTCATTTAATTATTAATCCAGTAAACATTTAACAAGTATCTGCTATTTGCCAGGCGGTAAGATTGGAGCTAGAGATATAGCACCAATCAAGTCAGAGAAGATTCCGGCCGTGGTCTGAATGGAGAAGACACAGCAAAAGAAGTAGTTAAGTGCAAGAGAACGAGGCCTGTCACAGATGATGGTAACAGCTGGGAAGAAAATGATCGGGGTCATGTTCTATTATGGCAGAAATACATGGTAGCCTAGTATGATAAGTCCTCATAAATTATTTATTTTTTTGAGTGCCAGGCATCCAACCCTGGGCCCTGTGCTCACATGCACATTGGGTAAGTATCCTGCCAGTAAGCTACAACCAGTATATAAGTATATAAGTATCCTGCCAGTAAGCTACAACCAGTATTCATATTTTTAAATGAATATAGAGCATCCGTGGAAAGATCAAGGACAGAAGATATTTTCTATCACATGCATCCCTGTTTGCCTTCATTGAAGTAATGATGTGCCATTAGTCAATAAGCCCCATAAATACTTATTGAATGTCTACAGGGATCAATAGTGTTCCAGGTACTGGGGGTTGAGGAAGATAGATCAAATGATAGTGCAGACTCTAAGCAAATGCATGGGACCTGGAAATATGATGTGAGCAGGAGGATAGAGAAGTGACATGGGGCCATGATAGTGGCATAGGGTGGTGAGCTAATAGTGAAGGTGAATAAGAATTAAGCGTTGCCCAGATTCCAGGGACAGAAATAGTGAAGAATCTGATATGCCCAGTGGATTGAAAGGATAGAAAAAGGCTTAATGTGGCCAGCAGAAAGTAAGGCTGGTGAAGTAAGCAAGGAGGCTGGGCCAGGGGGATGTGCAGAGCTTACCATAAATGCAGTGGGAAACGCTTGGTGGATATCAAATAGAGGTGTTGATCTAGTTGGGTTTTTGAAAGATCACTCAAGTTGCTGAGTGGTGATTAGACAGTAGGAAGGCAAAAGAGGAAGCTGGAAATACAAAAGATTATCACAGTAGTGTAGTCAAAAGGTAGCAACAGTTTCAACTCCAGTGGCATCTGGGACCCTGATATGAAGGAAGGAAATTTATTGTAAAGGCAGAGTTCATCTGATTAGCTAATGAATTGAATCTATGGTGAGGCAGAAGTAAAAGGGTATAGAATGACTTGTAGGTCTTTGTCTTGACCACAAGGTACGTAATGGTGCTGTGGAAAGGAATGGCTGCAGGGGATTCAGAGTTGTGCTTAAGGCATCCAATTGTTGAGACACCTTTTGGACATTGACTGGAGATATGGAGAAGGTAGCCTGTGTTGACCTAATCTGGAGTTCAGAGCCCCCTGCTAGGTTATATCCAATGTTAGATATGAAATGCTGATATACTTCCCATCATTGAATAAAGATACTGGCCTAAAAGACAGGAGGTTTTTGCAGCTCATAGGAGGGGAGAAAAGGGAATATCCTGGGGATAAATACCTCCCCCATGCACCATCTACATTTTCCTGAGTGACAGGGCAAACACTTGAAACTTCTTCCTCGCATGATCCTAAGCTGCCAAGTATGTATCAGATGTGTGTCACAGAGTGAAGAAATTTTAATTCTAATCTGAGGCATTGCTTGGAGCCCCAGGTGTTTATTCCTAAGACGGCCTGAAAGAAAGCCACCAAGAAGATGACAGCCTTGTCTTCTAGTCTGTAGCAACTCATGGCATCGCAGACAAGGAAACTAAGGCCTGGACAAGAGATAAGCTTTAACCAAAGTCACACTGTTCAGGTGTGTGCAGAGCTGGATCTTGAACGCTGGGTCTCACTCGATCCTGCATCATTCTTATTTAGGGCCTTGAAAACAGAACCCCCATGGAGGAGACTCCCTGGTGTCCATCTTCTGCACCTTAATGCAACTTCATAAAGAGTTGACAATAAAGCATTTTTTGCTTGTAGGGTATCCCTTTGTGAGATCAGCTCAGCTGGTAAACAGGCCATTGACTTTGGTGCCTCCAACCTTAATGAAGCTTCACTCTCTATGTCACAGACATTTCAGGTATAACATTTAAAACCTTGAGTTGTCTGAGTAGAAGCTGGTTATAATACACATGCAATTAAAAGAGAGTAAGTTGTGGGGAGTGGCTGAAGCTGGAGATTGACTAGATGTGTGGGGCTAGAGCAAGGCCAGCCCCGAGAACAAGAAGCGCCTAAGACCAGCCATGTGAACAAGCTGATAGACAGAGGTGTGTCATGGGACATCAACCTGCTGAGTGTATAAATGAACATGCTGCAGTCATTGGGCAGTTCTTTTATCAGGAGAGAGGGCTCCACCTGACCTCAGCTTTCTATATTCTGACTGTTGTCTTCATTTCTTCATCCTCCACTGTCTGCTCCCCAGGAATTTTGAGAGCTGCAGTGGAAGTGGCACTAAATATTAAGCAGGCATAAGAATCATGTGCAGTGTGTGAATCATGATTGGCTTCCATTTAGATTGAAGGACTCTCCTAGATGCCTAGGATGGGTTTTGGGAATATGTTTCAAAGAATTAAAGTGCTAAGATTGAAATACATCAGGTACCGTCTAAAATACAGGGCACTTGTCACCAAATCTCCATGTCATAATGAAAAGCAGGAATAAAACACAAAACAAATTGTCCTAAAAGACACTTTTTTAATGAAAAATGGGGAATTTTAGTGTGGTCACATGGCAGGTACAATGAATATCCCTCACATCTTTCCTTAGAGACAGATAGCCTCCTCTGTGGTTACCTAGGGACAGTGATGCACTTTGAGAGGTGAAGCATCCAGGTCTTAGATTTATTCTTGAACAGTTCAGCAGCAAATAAAACAGTCCAAATTTTGGCACTATACACACACACACACAAACAAAAGAAATATGGAAAAAATATAGACAACTACCAAGTCTAGGGGACAACTCTGTGGAGGTTGTTTGTATTATTATTTTTTTTTCAATTTTTCTACAAATTTGAACACGTTTATACCAAAAATTTGAGAAAATGCTCCTGAAGCCATTGCTGCCTACTTATTAAGGACAACATTTCTTGAGCCCACTGAGATTTTTTTCATCTGTCCTTAGTCACAGTTGTAAAGGTTGCTAGATGTGAAGATAGTGCAGGCATTAGCAAAGACTTATTGAAGTTATCAGTTAGAAGTGGAGGAAACTTGGGCCAATCCTACATCTAATAAAGAAAACAAATAGAGGTAACACATTGGGGGCTGGATGCTGGAAGAAGCTTTCTAAGTGGGAGGACAGCCTCTCACAGTTCCTGCAGTGGATAGAGATGTAACACATTTCAAATTTCTCTTTAGGTTTCTTCCTCAGGAAAATGAGGGGGGAGATCAGATAGAGTGAACCAAGCAAAAATCTGGGAAAATTTAACCAACAATAGGGAGAATAGGATGAGGGTCTGAGGCAATGATGCACTGGGAAAAGTGCAGCCAGGCATGGTGGTGGTGCATGCCTATAATCCCAGAATTCTGGAAGGTTGAGGCAAAAGGATCACAAGTTTGAGTCCAGCCTGGGACTTACTGAGACCCTAAGACAAAAAATAAAAAAGGAGTCTGGAGATATAGTTTAATCTGAAAGCTCAAAGGATTCAATCCTCAGTATTGGGGGAAAACTATAATAGGTTTTACTGCCTGGCACTTAATGGAGACCAAAAATATAAACAAACAAACAAATCTAAAACATTTAATTAAATAGATTTGGCTCTCAAGGTCATTGTTGAACTACTTATCATACAAAGAATTGCAAAGAAATCTCCCTTTGAGGTCTAGGCCCAAAAGTAAGATGAGCACCAGAATGCAAGAGTGAAATGTTAGCTTGAAAGTTTCCAAATGATACCCATTTGGGTGTTTCTTTAAAAAAAATACTCCTTTTATTATCCTTTTAAACTGTTGAATAAAAATTTGATATTAATGTTAATTAAGATGTGAAAACATGTCATTCTGGTCTTATTTTCCAGGAAAACGAAGAGAGTCACTGGGTAAATCTTGAACTGATATTCTCAGGCTATGGATAACATTGACCATTCTCCAAATTGTGTAATTCTTGAATGCAGACGAAGAACACCAAAGAGGGACAACATATGAATTTGGTTAAGAACTCGAGTTGAGGATTAGACAGGCTCATGAGGGAAGCCCAGCACTTGTGCTCACTGCTTGTGTAATCACAAGGCAGCTACTTTGTCCGCCTCCCCGGCAACGACTTGCAGTTTCTGCATCTGTAAAATGACAGAACATCTGTAAAGCGAGTAATTCTTAGAATTTGTGAAGCTTCCATGTTTCCATGCAGGTAATGTAGTTAGCATAATGTCCAAAATACAGTAAGCTTTCAATGCACATCGCCTATTATGATGTCTTTCCCTTGAATAAAATGCAAAAGGATCTGATAGATTAAACTCAAAACCTTAAACACAGCTCTCTGCCACAGAATGAGCTCCCCAAGACAGAGCAGATCCTCCTTGCTGAGGACTTCTTGAGACACACCTGTGGCTTTCTTCTGGGACCATGACCTTGAACAAACATTTGACTCTTGACCCACAGCATTTTTTCCCCACTGGAACCACACACTGTCATTTAGAAGGACTTGAATTTATCCATGGTCTTGGAGTTTGGGGTTAAGTCCTGGGAATGAGGGGAACGAGAATGGAGGATGGAATTGCGGGCGATTGCAGCATGAGAAAAACAGAAGTACGTAATGCTCTGCCCCACTCAAAATACCTGGCCCCAAGCTCTCACGATGGAGGGCAGGTGAGCCAGGAAGCGTGCTGGAACACTTTATGGTGCATAATAACCAATGCAGCTGTGCAAGCAGAGATCAAAGATCAAATCAAATTTCAAGCTGTGGGGACGTCAATCTGATCACCTGCAGAGGTCAGGGAAAGGAATTTTCTTCCCTGAAGAGCCCCAAGATTGGCTAAATTCCCAACAGGGGGGGTTGGCACTGCCTTGAAGGATCACATTACTGGCTACTGCCCAGGAGCAAAGGGACATGGCCTCAGGGTTGATGGGACTGATGGGGCCATTCTATTTTTCCCCTGCAGGGTGTTGCCGAACAGGACAGAGAAACTCAAGAGAGAGAACCTTGGGGCTCAGGCTCCAGTATGGCCAAAAGCATATTTTTGAGCGTCCACCTTTAAGGTAGGTACCTGGACTGCTAATTTTGCAGGTGTTCTGTTGGTCTGTATTGCATCCTCTTTTGCAATGGGGGTATATAGCTGATGGTGAGATGGGATCCTCTGTCTGGCAGAAGGCAGAGGAGAAGTTGGCTTCAAGGCCATCTGCTCTGTTTACCATCACCTGCAGCATAACACCCCCCCACACACCACACACACACACACCACACACACACACACACACACACACACACACACAGCAGGTAGCTGAAGCTAGGAAGCTCATGTTTGTGGCCAGGTGTGTGGGTTCTTGCCCTGTACTGGAGGTGATTCCATGTGGTCTAAATGAACACCCTGGCACCTCCCCTTATCAGAGAGAAGCAGGTAGCCCCCAGCGTAAGCTTTGAAAAGCTCCACGGAGCTATCTGAACTTGCAACTTCAATCCAAAATTTTTTGTTTCCTCCCCACTTCCCACTCCCACTTGATGACATTCCACACTGGGGGAGCAATTAGGAAGATTCATTGCAATGGTGGGAAGAGAATTTATTCCAGTGATAAAAAGGGAGTAAAATTTATTTCTTGGTAGATTTAGAGGATTGTTTTAAAAATGCCTCCCAAATGATACTTCCATGGTGTCTATCAGAAGGCAACCTTCAGGCCATGTGCAAGACGCAGAGGTGACTGAAGTGTCTCAGGGTGGGAACAGAGGGAAGCCAGGAACGGAGCCCGGCAGCTTGGGCTGCGAATGTCAATCAAACTAATGTGTTGGGGGAGGGGGGAGAAGTTTGTCACCCGTTTTAATATCAGAAATTCCTTTACGTGGGTGGTAACTGGGGAACAGCTGCAGGTAGCTGAATCACAGCCCAAATCCTTGCAGAAACGCCGGTGGGACCTCTGCCAACAACCGAGCAATGGCTTTTCAAGCTGGAATGGAGCAAGTCGTGCTAAGTAAGGCGAGGTTGGGGGGGCGGTGGTGGCTGGGGATGGGGAAGCAAGTTTTGAAAAAGCTGAGTTTTGAAGCCGGTGCATATTTAATAGGATTAGAACACATGAGTTAGAGGCTGAACATTCTCAACCTGCCTTGTTAAACAGCCAGCCTGCAGGAAGCCCCAGCTTGGGGCCCATGGCAGAAAAGGGAGGAAGGTGAAACACCTGGGCTTCTTCCAGGGGTACGGAAAAAGGCTGAAGGAGCGATCTGGGGATTCTTTTGTCCCTGCACTCTTTGTGGCTCCAAGCACCCATGCTTGCTTTCGAGCCTCAGCGGGCTCCATGAACCCACCCAGTTTGTCAACAATGCCTTCGGAGCCCTGTCCCTGTTTGACTTGGCATGGCTGGCCCACCCCTGCTCTGGTCAGTTGTTGGAAGGGGACATGTTTGTATTTACCTCCTCATGCTGGGCGGGTTGGCCTAACCTGGCTTGAAAATCTATTTAGACTTTTGACGGATGTGTCTCTGAGTCTGGGGTTTTCAGGTGAAGGTGGTGGAGAGACAGCAAGGTGAGCTGGGACATTCTCCTTCTTCAAAAGTGGAACCAGGTGATGTTGGAAGGAGCTGGGAGTCCCCGGGGTCTCAGGCTGCTGTGTGACACCGGAAGTGACTTCAGATAAGGCCTCTTACCTCCTGGGCCTCTTGCTTCATTTTCATGCAGAGGCTACAGGTTGTTAGAGCCTTTCTTGGGACAGTTGTCCCTGCCATTGGTCCCAGCTGTGCTGTGAATACTTGGCTGGAGATGCTATGCAGATCACACAATGAGGTTTAGGGATTACTAAGGCAGGAGTGTGTACAAGGTTAAAGACCTACTGAGCCTTGGCTGCTCTGCTTCCCCTCCTGGTCCCAGCTCTCCACACTTCTCTTTCTTCTTCACAATATCCTACACACTGCCCTTAGCAGCTGGAGGAAGCACAGCCACTTGGAAAATGATGCTAGAAGTCCTTAAGGCTTAAGCATATGAATCACTTTCTTTAACTGTTCATTATATACAGCGTTCTCTCCCCACTGTGCTAAGCTGGCAAGAGAAGTGTTGGCCTTCTCATCAGACTGTGTTTGCTTGCTTTATCCCTGAAGTGTAGGTAGAGGCAGGAGCTAAAAGAATAAGAAGCCAAGTTCTAGACCTGCATGAACTTGGGTTCAAATTCTAGCCCTGACTTATAAACTGTGCCAACTTCTGAGAGGTATTAAACCTTTCTAATCCTCAGCTTTTTCCCTGTAGAAATCTGTCAAAAATAAAAGATCGCATGGAAAAAAATGGTATATAACCTATTCGGTAAATGGGTCCATGCTTCCCATACCTGGCACAGAGTTGTAGCAGTTGTTACTCTGAATAATAACCAGCGTTCAGCAAGCTTTGCCTGTGGGTCAGGGGCTGGGGTTAGCATTTTACCAGATTCATTCTTTTGCGATCCTTATGATCAGCTGGGTGATCTTCCTTCTTGTTTTAGGTAATGATTTCCCAAGTCCTTCTTCTCAAGTGAACCGCCAGGCCCAGGACTTGGGTTAGATAAAGATCTGGACCAAGCTGGAGAAGGTTCTGGAGAAGCTCCCTAGCTTTGGACAACCCAAGGGGAGTTTTGAACCCCAGGGAGGGGCAGAGCTCCAGCTTCCGGATGCGGGGGCCTCAGGAATCTGGGGAGGCAGGGACCATTCCGACAGCCCTAGGGAGCCCGCAGTGAACAGTGTGTGTCCTGCCGGCTGTGTAAACACAGTAACCAAATACACTGATGGTTTCCAGGGCCCACCAGATGGCAATAAGGACAGTGGCTGATGTGCTTTCTGTTTCTTCCCCTCCCTTCTTATTTTCTTTTGCTCCTCATGCCTCAGGGGAGGATAGAACGCGAGAGGCCCAGGAAACTCAGCGATGATCCCAAGTCTTTGTGGATGTGTGCCTGCCCGTACACTGCTCTCCACCTCACCTTCACAGTGGAGCCTCCTTGGACTCAAACCCACCAGCTCCCAGCATAGCGCACACCCTTCCCCGTCTTTCTCAGATAGTACTATCTAATACCGCCTGTTTTTCAATCTTCTTACTCCCACCCTTTCACTAAAAAAGTAGTTCCCAGAGGGTAAGAATTTTTGTCTTTCTGTGCATGACTGTGTCTCAGACCCCATCATGGTGACTATGTTTCTTTGAATGGAAGCATTTGATGTGTCCCTCCCATGCCAGGCAGGGCATGAAGTTGCATCCTGCTGAAATGTTTTTGAGAGTCTTGGGGATATCAGATGTTGTGTTTCTAGCCTTTTCTGGGAGATCTGGGCAATGCAGGTTAAAACAGAGATCTTCTCACTCAGGTTTCTGAGAGAAAATTTCCTTGCACTAACGCGAGGGTCGGTCAATACGCCAGAGTCCCGTAAGTTGGCACGATCATACCACCACCTCCCTCTTTGGGGCAGCCCATCAGGGAAGCCCATCAGTGACACACGCTCTTTCTAAGACTGGACACAGATTCTCCCCCAGCACCTCCTGTCAGCCCCTAGCTTTTCCTCTCCTCCAGCCTTGCTCTTTGCAGAGGCTGGAGCTGCCGAGGGGGCCTCCAGCTTTATCTGCCTTCGATGAAGCCACAACTGCTATGCGCTCCATCGCGGGCACTCCCTGCTATCTTTATCCACTTTTCATTTCACAAAAATTGTTATATTTTATTGTATGGATGTTGTTTTTACTGTCCCGGGTGGAGGTGAGAGTACAGACAACTGCTGGCTAGTGTCCCTGGACATGAAGCCACAGCCAGTATTCCTGGCTCTATCTCCACTCTGTGTGGGCTCATCAAAGAAAGCTGAGCAGAGAAGGGAACTAGCCTTGTGAGAGGCGAAATCTTGGACAGGAAAGCTGGGAACGGAGAGGAGAGAAAAAAAGGAAGGACCAGGAGAAGAGACGAGCGGCAGAGGGCAAGCCGAGGTAGGGCTTATGATGGTTTGTGGGCACGGGGTTGGCTGCAGGAGAGACTGCAGCCTGAGCTAATCTGAGAGGGTTCTAATCCCCTTCTAGCCTTCTTGTTGCTACAGAGAAACAACAGTGGAAGCCCAAAGTGATTTCCAGGCCATTGTTGGCTTTCTGCCCTTTCCATTCATTGGTGATGTCCAGCAGTTCTTCATGGCGGCTGCAGTCACTGCCAACTTCTCTGCCATCTGGGTGCACGCTTCAGTTATATAATGAATGCGATGACAAGGAAAACAAGGGTCAAGGCTTTTGTTTTTCTTCCATACTTGGAAGAAAAATTCTCTCCTCCCCTCCCCTCTCTTCCCCCATCCTCACCTTCCCTTCCCTTCCCTTCCTTTCTGTTCCCCTCCCCTGCTCTCCTCTTCCTTCCTCTCCCCTTGCCTCCTTTCCTGTCCTCTCCTCTTCTGTCCTCTGGTCTGGGCTGGTCTGGGCTGGTCTGGTCTGGTCTGGTCTCCTGTCCTTTCCTCTCCTCTCCTCTCTTCTCTATCCCTCTTCTCTTTTCTTCTCTCATCTGCTCCTGTCCCTACCCTCCTCTTTTTCTCTTTCTTGTCCTTCCTCTTCTTCTTTCCCCCTCTTTCTTTCTCTGTCTCTGCCTGTCTTTCTCTTTCTCTGTTTCTGTGTGTGTCTATTTCTTTCTTTTTTAACTAATAAGCCATCTCACGAAAAGCAGTTTAGGAGAGATTCAGAGTGTTCCTTCTCTTTTTCACAAGTTTTGTTTCAGTTCATGGTAGAAATCCCAACATAAAAGAAGTTTCCAATGCTGCTAAAACCGAGAGTCTATTAAATGTGATCATGATTTGATTTTTTTGCCCTTGGACTGCTAAAAGATTCAGCAAAGTCACAAATGCACACTGTGCCTTTCACAAGGTCTGTCATTGGAGGCAGAGGTGAGATGTGAGGCAGTGTGGGGACAAGAATAAATGGTGATGGGCCGGGGATATAGCTCAGTGACACAAGTGCCTGCCTGGCAAGCACAAGGTCCAGAGTTCGATTCCTGGTAAAAAAAAAAAAAAAAGAATGAGTGGTGGTTGGGTAAGGGATGGCTTTTTAGAGTTTGCCTAGCAGGCAAAAGGAAGAAAGCCTTGTAGACCTAGAAAACGTCCCCCATGTAGATACTGAGGAGGCAAAGGCCATGACCTATTTAGGCAACTCCTGGTGCTCAAGTGGCTGACATAAGGCCTGAGGCGTAAATGTGGGTTGGGAAAGGAATCTACAGAAGCAGCCCTGGCCCACTGGGGTTGCCACATTTCCACTGTGGGCTCATTCTGTGGATAACAGCAAAGTTCAGAAGGGCTTGGAGCAGTCAAGCAGTGCAGTCAGATCTGTGTTTCATAAACTAAGTTTTAACTTGTGGAGGGGTGGGCTGTAGAATCCACAAGGATGCAGTGAGGCACTTCTGTTTGCTCATCATTAGGCAAATATTTATGGAGACCCTTTTGCATGTGAGGCATCATTCCAGATCTTGGGATGTAGCAAAGGCTCTCAGCAAGGAATTACTTACTGGAAGAAAATGCCAGAGTAAATATCTATATATATATAAAATATATCACATATACCTATGTAACATATATATATATATATATATATATATATTCACATATATTTATATATAATAAGATGAAGGTGAGTAAAATCTCTTAAAAACATGAGATGGGTAGTAATAAGAGTGATGGGAATCATATCTGAGGTACCCAGCCAGAGAAGGTGCTCCTGGAGCTGGAATCAGAGCAGAGCACTGGATGAAATGAGGAATCCACTCCTGTCAGTATTTGAGGGAGACTGTAGTAATATTTCATAATAAATAAGGATGGCTGAAATGGCCTGGCAAGGATGATGAGGGGAGATGATGGGACATTTGAAGATGTGACATAGAAAGCACTACTAGCTATGGCAAGTCAAGGAAAAGGACAAGCTGAGGATAGAGCTAGTCTTCTGGCTTGGTCATTACAGCGAATGGTGGTATCCTTCACTAGGACAGAGAATGAGGGGGCAAAGAATATTTCTGTAGAGTAAAATAATGAATGTGCTGTCCTTCAGTGACCAGTAGCATATCTTGATGGTCTTCTACTTTTCTATTCATTGTTCCAAATCTTGGGAAAGTTTTGTGTAATGTGGATTCTCCTTTATGAAAAGGATGCAATATCTCAACTTCAAACATCAAGGGTTTCAGGGCTGGTCTAAAATTTTACTTGGCTTGTTTGCTATTTCCCTTATTTCCCCTTTTTAGTGCCATTTCTTTTGATTCCAGCCAAGGAGAACGCTTACGAGACAAGGTCAAGTCGCTTGAGGACTTAGGAGACTAGAGCGCAGGCATTATGCTAGCAAAAGACCAACTGCCTTCTAGACACAGGGCCTCTGCTACTCAGAGATCCACTGTGCCACCTCCAGCCTGAGCTTAAAACTCTTCTAAGCAGACCCTGCACAGTGAAGACCAGCAGGGAAAGGTAAAACTGAAGACAAGCAGGGAACAGGTGACAATGCATTTTCAAGCTGGATTCTTGAAGGAAGAATTTAGAACAGAGGCTTCCCACAGCCTATAGATTCTTGAAAGACATTTTTGCAAAATTGCCAAGCTGGCTCAGGTACTTGAGTTTTTCCCCCATCTATACAATGAATGTTCTCCCTATGTTTGTCTCTGGGCATTCTAATGGCACTTCAGGTGTTTCCCCATCATTTTGCTAATTATATTGCAGCTGATGTGGCCTTCTGTGCAATTGTTTTTTTTTGTTTTGTTTTTTGTTTTTTTTTTTTTGGTTTTGGTTTTTCTCTGGTACCGGGAACCGAACTCACGACCTTGCGCTTGCCAGGCAGGTGCTTTGCCGCTGAGCTAAATCCCCAGCCCCATCTTCTGTGCAATTGTTAATCTTGAAGGGTGGCTGTTAGCAAAGCTTCTTTCCCATGAGACAGGGACTGTGACCGTGCCTGAATGAGCATGCACCAGCTCTACTATGGCATGGCCAATGCCCCATCTCCCATCTAGCCATGAATACCGTACCATTTGTGTGTTTCCAAACAGAACAAGACAGCTAGCCAGCTTCCAGTGTGATGGCCTTAACACTTGTTTTCCAACTTGGCTAAAATTTTGGTCCACCCCTGGGAAATTTTATTTCTTCCAGCCTTCTCATTGCTGGCCTTTATTCAGATTTGTCTTCTTCATGTGGGGCCTGTGATATTAGGAAGCTTTGGAGGGTGACATAACAGGCAGGATGCACTCTAGTTTGGGGGAAGGCTTTTTATTATGGATGAAAGTTAAATTTTTACTCAAGCCAGAAGAGTGCATGCCCTCTGGAAGAGGCTGTGCCAGTTGCTTGCCATTATGTTAACTGTAACACCAAAATCTTTATAAATGCCCTAACGGATCAACTCTCGCCTGTCTCTTAGATTCATCTGCAGCCTGACCTTCCATGGCAACTAAGCCACGTCACTTACAGCCCTTTGATTCTCTTCCAACTCCCTGATAGATTGTGAGGGGTCAAGTTTGTCTGCTAACCTGTGTTTGCTGGTTGGGTGGATGAGAGTTTGTGAACGGATGAAAAAATGAACAAATGACCTAGGGAGGTTGAAGTTGGAATGTTACCCTACACTGTGTTCAAAAGCTCAGCCTCCCCAGGAGGCGCTCAAAGAAAAGTCCTTTTCTAAAAATTACCCAGGACTGAAAAGGTTAAAAGCTTCTATCATAAATGGCACCAACTTGTTGGAAATCCAGATGACTTTATCTTGTGCAGATTTAGTAGCTGACGGTCTTGTACTCTGGGGAAGGTGTTACTCTGAAGCCCTCCCGAATGTGGGTCTGGGTCTTGGGATGGGACCAAGCTTCCACACAGAGGCAGAAAGCAAAGTTGCCCCATTTTCAGAAGAGAGGCAGGCATTCCTAAGAGCATGTAGGCAAAACACCACAGCAAGAAGAAGAGAACCCCAAGAATGACTTAGGAGATGGCTTTTAAAAGGTGACACAAGCTTTGTTCTGAAGTGTTCAAAATACACAAACCTAACAAAATAAAGCAGTAAACTCCCCACCACATCTGCAAAAGGAAAGGGCAAATGAAAGCAGGTTACATGCTCAGCTCGTGTCACCTGACCAGTGTGTTTGATACAACACAGCTTTTCTTCTGTTGGGGGCTGATCCCCTGCATTGTGCAGGGAGGGGCTGAGCCCAGAAAGAGGTGGGAAGGCAGTTCTGCAGAGGCCTCCAGAGAGAGGGAGGAGCCCGGGCTTACAGCCCTGTAAAGGACATTTATCGATGCTGACTTCCTCTCGGCAACTTTCATCTTTTTATGCTGTTTGCCTTGCAACTCCTTAGGCCTGAAAGGACCTTGGATTTGAAAAGTAAATTCTCCAAAAGATATGACATGTTTGAATTTGGACTGGAAAAGCAGAGGGAAGGTTAGTGCCTAGCTGTCGGAAGAAGCCAGATCAGACATGGTCAATGAGGTAGTGGGGTCCCCAAGCATTTGAAGTCAGTTCTGCAGATTCGCTAGAACACACACACACACACACACACACACACACACACACGCACGCACACACACACCGCACTATGTTTGACTCTCAGAAACTTGCATTTCACCTCTTCTTCTTACTTTGAGTTGTCTTTAGATCATCAGTGCTATTTTTGACCACTAAGGTCCATCCACTACAAACCCTCCTGTAAGGACCCTGCTTAAGCAAAAGGGGTAATGAGCGGGCTGGTGGAAGCAGTGGCTGGAGGTGCTGGCAATGTGTTGACATGGCGCAGTTGGGGTGTGTTGTGTAGGAGATGAAGCTATGCAGGGAGTTCAACCTGTAAATCCAAGTCCTGCTGCTTTCACTTTCCAGGAGGGGTGCTGACTCTAGTTAGAGGGTGTTTTGCTGGCTTTCTACCACCTTTAAAAGGATACAGTTGGGTGGGAGGGGGTATCATTTTCAATGTCCCTCCCTGCACAGGGAATATATATCCACGGGTGAAGCTGCAGAGAACAGGGAAGAGGCTTAGATGCTTTGGAGTGGATTGCTTTATGCAAGATCCTTTTGGAAGAAGCCACATGTCCCTGGTGAACAACAGCCTTGAGAGGGGTGTGTGTGTGTGTGTATGTGTGTGTGTTTGTGTGAGATGAACAGCATATGTGCTGTGTATATATAAACTTGAGTCAGAGTCTGTATTCATAGTTTATTATATCACCCCGCAATTGTGAAAAAGGCTTCGGCAGTCTAATCAGAGGTTTGAATGCAGGGCCTCTAGGACCAGAGTCTAAGAGTTCATACTAGGTTCTCATCCAATGGCTCGAAAGTGCCAGATCCTAGCTTGAGTAGCAGCATGATTCTGACAGTAGGAAGGTGCATAGCCAAGAGGAATAATCAGAAACTTTTCCCCTACTTCCCCTGGCCTCTGCTCCTTCCCATGGACTCTTCCTCTTCCATCACCCCCTGCCTGCCTCAGGCTGCTTACAGCAGAGAGGCTGTGGAGCCCGGAGCCAGCCCTCGGCTCCTGCTGCTCTGCTCTAACACTGGCCTCTGAGGAGCCAGGAGGCCTGAATTAAAGGCTGTTACCGAAGCCAGAAGGTTGCAATCAACGGATGGCTGGTGAGGCTATGGGTCACGAGAAGGGTCACCCCTGACTTATTTCCATGTCCCCCGGTCTTGTCAGGAGGTCTGCAGAGCCACAGAAAACAAACAGAATGGAGGGCTCCAATCAGAAACAGCCTGTGACCTTCTCTGGCCTAGAGAATTCATGACAGTCAAAGCCTCCTGCAGCTCCCTGAGGATCCTGGAGGCAAAAAGTGTGCATGTGTGTGTGTCAGTGGGTCTGTCTTTAACTTCACGCATTTCTGCAGATGCATGGCAGTCTGTGCAAAATATGCATGCTCTGGAGGGAGCATGTGACACTCACGGGAAGGGGGCTTTCAGGGGACACAAAAGCCGGTGCAAGTCTTGCGTGTGGTGCCAGCGAGTTCAAAGTGACCTGCCTCACCGGTTCTGTCTCGATGTCCCTGGCTCTTTTGTTGGACGGCTTGAAGGAGCCATCCTGAATAGCGTGGCTAATGTACAAGCGGATCAGTCTGCCTCCCTGTCACTCAGTAGGTTTGACCAATCAATCAGTATCAGGTCTGATGAGTATGGGAAGGCCTTGAAGGAGAACTTGGTTTGAATTAAGGGTTGAATGGGGTGGGGAGAGCAGGCAGCAGTCCCATTTCTGTCTCTCTCTCTGTGATCCTCTCGCTGTCCCTGCTTCGTGCTTGGTGACATTCTTTGCCAACAGTATTTTCTCTTTGACTATCCCATTCCTTCAGGAATGGAAGGTCCCCTGCTAGTATTATGAGCCTCTTATGAGTCTTTTGGAGCTGTTGTCCTGTACTTTTAATATGCATAGTACCTCACCTATTGACTTCATATAATGGCTCCAATTTACATGTTGCTTTGCATGTGATTTGCATTACATTAGTAATTCCCCCTTCCAATGAATATTTATCAACAGTCACATACCATGGAAGATGCTATATAATGAGAAGAAGGAATAGGGATACAAAACCTCTATGCTAAAGCTTTGTTGCTTTTCACCCACAGCCTCATAAACACTTTCCAGTCCACTAATCCATTTCTCCACCTACTTTTCTTTGACAGTTTCTTAATAACAGTTGCTCTCCTTGAGATAATCACTGGATCAGCTTCTCAGAGGTTTGTGCAGCCTGGAAGATGTACCTGGGCAGTCAGAGAATACTGAAGTCACACATTAATGGGCTTGACTCACTTCTACCAAAACCAGCTTGGGTTCTTCCCGGTCTTGTGAGGATCCATCAAGAACCTGCTGTATGGCTCTCATATACCTTAAAGACACATTAGGAGGAAGGCTGTGGTCTTCACTCCACTTACAATGAAGAAAAGAAGAAACTGAGCTGTAGGCCTCAGGAAGCATTTCCCACAGGCCAGCAAGTTTAAGTTCAAGCTCAAGGTCAGCCAGAAAGTAGACAAAGTCCAAACCAACATGTATTTGCTGGATTCTATTTCTTCTGAGAATGGTATTGGCTAAAGAGGGGGACACACAAGGAAAGGAGGTCCCTAGGAGTCTATAGCTCATCTTCCTCATCCACATACAATCTATCTGAATTCATTTCTGGGTCAATTTTCTTGTTTGGCTGTTCTGCGAGACCTGGCAGCCTTGTGTAATACTTGGGTTCTTTATTGGTCATTTATTGCTTTAAGGATTCCCCCCATTGGTGTATCATGGACCTTATGAAACGGCACCTTTGTTAAAGTGTGAGTAGTTTAGATGATACTTTTGCAAAACTTCCACTTAAGATCGCCAGCTGCCTAGACCAGTGATGGCAGGCTGTCTTCCAAGGGCCAAGGCATTCTTGTGGCATTCTTGTACCTTCTGATTCAGCTGTCTTGCAGTCTTTTGCTTCTAGTCATAAGGACAGTAATGTGCCAGACACCTCAGGGGTCTACCAGCAAGCCGATGGGCATTTGGCACACATTCTAGAACACAGTACTATGGCCCAGGCAATCACAGGGAAGACCGGGAACTGTCGAGATTGACATACCTATCAGTGAACACTACACACTGCATTGTGGTCCTCAGACCAACCCCTATTCTCTCCAAGCCTTACCTTCTTACCTGTGAAATACAGGACAAGATCGCTCAACTGGTAGAAATCTCTTGAGGCTCAAATAAGATCAAACATGTGAAAGTACCTACCAACACAGCACCAGGCATGGAGGAGAGGCTCAAGAAGTGTTCCTCTCTCTTTTTCACTCAGAGCCCCTCCCACTAGTTGTTTCAGAGGATCTGCAGGGAAAGAGAGGGCAGTATGTTCTACATCTACTTTTCACTGGGTGCCTCAGAACTCACAGAGATTCCTTTGCATTCCTTGCTGGTCTTCCCAACACAAATGAATCATGTGGAGCTGTTTGAAAAGAGGAGGTCTGGGTTGGGAATATAGCTCAGTGGCACAGCACCTGCCTTGCAAGTGTGAGGTCCTGAGTTTGATTCCTGGTACCAAAATAAAAAAAAAAAAAAGAAAAGAGGAAGACTTCCGAGCCTGTGTGGTTCCCTCTTTGTGACATTCTGCAGTTGTGTGTCTGGGCTCTGTGGGAAGGGACAAAGGGTACTACCCATGAGTACCAGGGGGCTGACATCCCACGACCTAGTGGCATGCTGGTTGCTGTATGTGTTGCTCACAGAGAAAGGCAGGGTGCGTGTCCTTCAAATGGTGCGCGCAGGTGCCAGGAGCTGAGTCAGCCCTGTGTTGTTTATAGGGAACTGGAGGTGGGTGGGGGTTGCGAGGACAGATGGGCTCTCTCTGACTCAAATCCCCACGGCCAACACCCGGGACACCACTTTTGGAAAAGCTCGGTTCAGAAAGGCCTAGCTGGGACCTAGACTCTGTCCTTGTCATCTAGAATATGGTAGAGAAGGTGATTGGATTGAAATTCGGACTCCTTTCTCTATCTCCTGGTGCCCATGTTTCCCTTTACTCTTAGCTTGCCAATGTAGGTTTAATTCATTAATTTTTTTTTTCAAATTTTCTGGGGCCCAATTTAAATCAGTTATGGAAGTCAGTATGAGCCCAAAGCCAAAAAGAAACTAGGTCACGGTAGTAAAGAGTTTTATTAGACTTATCTTGAGGTGCAAATAATAAAACTCCAATAGCAGTTGTTTAACAATTAAAGTGATTTCAAAATTCGATTGTTTCACAAAGATGTCAGAATTGGTACTGCAGGGCTGGTCTTGCACTCGGTGATGATCCCCCAAATCATGCTTTCTTCTGCTTTTCTACATCTCTTAGCTTAACAACGTGGCCTCATGAGTATAGCCTCATAGTCACAAAACAGCTTCTGCACCTCCAGGC